CTTTATAGATGATACCCAGTACTCAGTGTCCAACGAATGCTTCACAAAAGTTGCAAAATAAATGTGAGTTAAAAGTTGAGTGTACGTGTGGAACACAGATTTCGTCATCCAGGCCCCAGACAACTTGACACCTCCTCCCATCACCGCACCACAGAGCGGACAGGCCCCGAGAGCCAGGCCTGGAGTTCCTCACGTGTGTGCCTTCCCCCGCCACATGACCAGACCTGCAGCGGACACCTGCCCAAATTGAGACGATCCAATCTGGCTCTGGGACCCAAATACATTGCTCCAAGGGTTCAGCACACCAAAGTCCAAGGAGCCCATTCACAGGGAGGACCACCAGATTCTGACCAACACGTCAATTTTATTTTTGCTAACACAGAAAATACTGAGCATCTGTCAGACCCTCAGACCATCATCACAGAGCCCTTGCTGCAAGGGCTCAGCTACTGAGAGGAGGACTCAGGTACCTAAAACATCTGTTACTAAGATAGCTGGAGGCTGGGCGCTGCAGCTCACACCTGTAATCCCAGTACTTTGGGAAGCTGAGGCGGGCGGATCGTTTGGGGTCAGGAGTTGGAGACCAGCCTGGCCAACAGAGTGAAAACCCATCTCTATTAAAAATACAAAAATTAGCTGGGTGTGGTGGCACGTACCTGTAGTCCCAGCTACTCTGGAGGCTGAGGCATGAGGATCGCTTGAACCTGGGAGACAGAGGTTGCAGTGAGCCAAGATTGTGCCCCTGCACTCCAGCCTGGGCAACAGGGCGAGACACCGTCTCAAAAAAAAAAAAAAAAAGAAAAACAGATAGCTGGAAAAATCCACCTCTTCCACATGAGGACTTCTAGATGCACACTTCATTCTGGTCCCTCTGACATCTTTCTTATAAATGGAGGCTTTTGTCTTGTTTAAGGCAAAGAAAATCAGTTAAAGAAAAGACTGCTGGGCTATAAGAGCAAAAGATAACAGTCCACAGCACTGCCAATTCTCCAGGCAGCCTGCCCTGCCAGACACGAGCTCAGGGGAGCAGGAACTCGGGGGCTCCTTTTCCACTGCAGGATCACCAGGGCCTGAAATAGCACCTGGCTCAGAGTAGATGCTCAAATAGTTGTTGAGTGGGTGACTGCTGCTTAAATAAAAAATATCCATACACCAGGATGCTCTAGCATTTAAGTAATGAACCATAGTCTCAAAGGGATACTATGGTATTAGGTACTGACAGAGGACTGGGGAAGGGGGAGGAAAGATAGTAAGTATGAAGCACAGATGCCAAACACCATGGGATCTTTCTACTGACACTGAAGTTACCTGCGCAGCAGGTGCCAGGTGCAGTGGTGATGGCCCTGAGCTGAGCATGTGGGAAACAAGGAGGCATTCCAGGGATGAAAAACCAGCATGAGCAAAGGTGCACGGACTGATGGAGACCAGCACATGTACCAGATGGCGAGAAGACAGGTCTGCCTCAAGCGGGTAGCTGCAAAGGAGCGGGACAAAGGGGACTAAGCCAGTGTTAGAGGATTCAAGAAACAACTGCAATCGCTCATTTTGATTTGTTAAAGAAAAATGTCCTTGGCACTCACTGGCAAAAAAGGAGTGATAGCCAGATGGTGGGTGGCTCATGCCTGTAATTCCGATACTTTGGGAGGCTGAGGCAGGTGGATGGCTTGAGGCCAGGAGTTTCAGACCAGTCTGGATAACAGAGTGAGGGCCCGTCTCTACAGAAAAATTTTTAAACATTCGCTGAGTCGGGTGGCACAAACCTGTAGTCCCAGCTACTAAGGAGACAGAGGCAGGAAGATTGCTTGAATCCAGGAGTTCAAGGCATCAGTGAGCCATGATCACACCACGGCACTCCAGCCTGGGCAACAAAGCGAGACCATCTCAAAAAACAAACAAAAAAAAAAACAAATGGACACGTGGGATGACGTGGGAGGTGGCCAGGAACACACTGTGAAGGAAGGACCAGGAGACCTAGATGCAGGGCGAGGACAGGGAGGACTCTGGCTCCCAGATGAAAGGAAGCTGCACTCACTGCGAAAATGGGAGGGGAGAAGAAGCTAATTCCAGAAAGAAGAGTTCCAGGAAAAAACTCTAGCAGGAGGTCACTAATGCCTCCGAGCTTCCCTAAAGTCAGAGGCATGGTGTCCTTGTCACTGACTTCTTCCCATGTCCTCTGCTATATGACTGCATGCTGAGCCACCAATGACAGGCAACTGCGGCTCAATGTTTAACCCAGCATCAGTAACAGGCGGCTGACCCCAGTGCTGCGGAGGCAGGAGGACCAGAGAACCGGCCACTTCGGGAGAAGCGCATCTGTGAGGCTAGATCAGCTATCTAAACGGCAGAACATCAGGTGGGCTAAAGTGAAACCCAGGGCTATGCCCACCTTCCCTGGGAACAACGAAAAGAACATTTTCCTTTTTCTAGGTTCTTATCCTGACCAAACACAGGCAAATGGGAAGGATGCTTAGTGCTGTTTATTCCATGGGGCAGAAGGTTCCCCTTTGGGAATAAACAAATAAATAATGAGCTGAGCCTTGAGAAAGTTAAAAATCAACAGCCTAAATAAATCTGTGGTTCTCAAACTCAGGGCCAAAGAGATCAAGAGTTCCCAGGAGGCTCCGAGAGGCTGTTGGGAAGACACTGGTGGAAACTGCTAACACAGCATTCTCAGCCTCTGCAAACACTACCCCCTCCCCCATTCTTCAGACACTGCCTCAGCTGAGCCAGGACGGGCAGTTCCACAGGCAGGGTGCAGCTTACAAGCTGAGCTCTCAAAGACCTGAGAGCTGAAGAGTTCCTGGACACTTCGACAACAATATCCGATTGTGAAGGGTGGCCGGGAGGGAGTGGAAAATTAGGCCCTGGAACAGCCCTGGGAAGGGAGGAAGTCAGTCTGAGGAAGCTTCTGGGAACAGCTGTGGAGAAAAATATAGATGGGAGTGATGGGCAGGCCTCACAAAGGAACGGCAGCTTTCACACCAGAGGGTTTTTACTTCAGACAAAAGAAAACAATGGTTAGAAAAGGCTGCCAGTAGTGGTCACCCCAGGTACATGCTTTTTCTAGAAAGGTTTATGAACTCAAAAAAAATCTCAATAGCCTCTATTTGAGAAACATCACCTTTAAAAAAGCTGCCTTCTATTGATAAGAAAAGAACATTACTGTCTACGTAAGTGACATGATTAGCAACAATGGGAAACTTCTTGAAATATTTGTCTAAATTAGGTTTCTTTTTTTTTTAAGAGGGAGTTTCACTCTTGTCGCCCAGGCTGGAGTGCTCTGGCCCAGTCTCGGCTTACTGCAACCTCCTCCTCTCGGGTTCAAGTGATTCTCCTGACTCAGCCTCCCAAGTAGCTGGGATTACAGGCGCCCCCACCACGCCCAGCTAATTTTTGTATTTTTAATAGAAACGGTGATTCACCACGTTGGTCAGGCTGGTCTGGAACTCCTGACCTCAGGTGATCCACCTGCCTTGGCCTCCCAAAGTGCTGGGATTACAGGCATGAGCCACCCTGACCAGCCCTCATGTTTTTTTTTTTTTTTACTAGAAAGTCAGAATGAAAAATGTAAAAGGGGATAGAAATAGTGATATTGGGCCGGGCGCAGTGGCTCACGCCTGTAATCCCAGCACTTTGGGAGGCCAAGGCGGGCAGATCATGAGGTCAGGAGATTGAGACCATCTCGGCTAACACAGTGAAACTCCGTCTCTACTAAAAATACAAAAAAAGTTAGCCAGGCGCGGTGGTGGGCGCCTGTTGTCCCAGCTACTTGGGAGGCTGAGGCAGGAGAATGGCGTGAACCCGGGAGGCAGAAGTTTCAGTGAGCTGAGATCGCGTCACTGCACTCCAGCCTGGGTGACAGAGCAAGACTCTGTCTCAAAAAAAAAAAAAAAAGAAAAAAAGAGTGATATTAACATCAGGATTGCCCAACATTGAAGATTGAAATGATAAGCAAACTGAAGTGCCAACCTGTTTAATCTAATATAGTTTGCTACCCAAAATGACTTCCTGGATCTGAAATACTTTAAAAGGCTAGAAATACATTTTCAGAAGTATTATTTTTCTTGACTTGTTAAAGTTAAGATCTTTAAGTTTAAAATGATGAAAACGAATTCAAATTACTAAATATCAATATCCATATCCAAGGCAATATAGCCCTCTGTGATTCACACAAGAATCAAATCCGAATCACTGACCTGAGCATTTTACGGATCAATGATCTGTTTCTGGAGCATATCCACACACTCTAAAAATGACAGATATTCTATAGCCTTCTACTTCTAAGAAAATGATTTTAAATACCATCAGTTATGTAAACACACATTCGCATACACACACACAACCTTACAGTAAGTTTCAGGTCTTCCTAGTTGTAAAAAAAGCACTGTACTTTTTAATCAGGACACATGAATCTACCTCTCAGAAAGATCAAAGCCAGATGCAAACATCATCCTTTAAAAAGATCTCAGCAATAGATAGAGCCACTAAGTCTACCTCTAACTGGAGTCATACTGTAACGGAAATTTCAATCATGCTCTTAAAGTTCAAAGAATTCTGTAGAAAAGAATTCTGTCCAGAATATTAAAACTTTTTTAGAAGTCTGATTCTTAGAAATTCCTTTAGCAAACACACCCCATTTCCACAGCACCATTCTTTTTTATTGTTGCAATATATCATTTGTTTTTTACTTATTAGTGCTTTATGTTATGAAATTAAGTGCAAAAATATTTAAATAATGCTGTGTGCCAGCCACCACTCTCAATGGTTTGACTCACTTTAATCTGCACAATCACCCACTTTTCAATGAAGGAAATAGAGGCACCAAGGGGAAAGTAGCCAGCCCAAGTCAGATCTCATGGCGGGGCCAAGGCAGTCTGGCTCCAAAATCCTGAATCAAAAAGCAGGTCAAAAAGTTAAAAACAAAGAAACATCACACAAGGAAGGAGGAGAGGCCAAAGGCTACTCTGAGGGATTAAAATGGGAGTTTTTCTCCGGCTTACCTTCTACTCTCATTTTACTGACCACGCCTGACACATGCATTCCCTGCCACAGTGGCTCCTGCGGCCGCCTGGCTGCGCTGGACAGCGTGACTCCTCAGGGTGGGAGCCGCGTGGATCCCTGGCCCTTCTTGGCCAATCACTCTAATTACCCCATGGTTCCTTCCAGAGGGCAGCGGGCAGTGCAGTGAGTCACCCACACGTCCCATTTCTTAGAAAACCTGCAGCCATGGATGCCTAACGTCTACTGTGGAGTTGTTATTCTGCAAGTTATTATAAGTAGAGTCACAATTTTTGTGCTACATTTAAACATTTTGTATCTCTAAGCTTCCTTAGAAATGTTACTATATTTTTCCTACATTTGCTTCCTGAGAAGCAAGAACGGGGGAGTTACCAGCACAGTGAGAGTCATGATTAGTCAGACCCAGGGTAGAGAAGAATGTAAAATAGGCACGCATCAGCTGTTTTACTGAGAGGAGGGTTTTAAATAGGGCACAGCCAGCTGGGGATGGGGAGGGGTGAGGTGGGGCGGGGCAGCAGGCTGACAGGGCTGCCCTGGTGCGGATCATCTAGTCTTGGTCCCTGGTTTCTGGCATACAGCTCCTAAAGCCCTTGGAATTTACTGAGCAACAAGAGTGCCCTTAGTGATTTATAGACAGCCCCAGTGCACCACACCTGAGCTTATGCTAATAAAGTGACTGGGGGTTCGGTGGGGGGTGCCCCTAGATAGCCTGGATGGAAGCTGGTCATTGCCAGAAAGACGAAACGTGTGATTAGAGGGTGGGAACCTTCCAGATTCCCTACACCCCAACCTCTGGGAGGGGTGGGGGGCCGGGAGACTCGGTTGCAAAAACTCTTGAACGATGGGATGTGGGGAGCCTCCAGGTGATGAACTCGTTGGGATGGTACACTGGGCGGTGTCTCCCCCAGGGGGCATGGAGACTCCCACCCCTCGTCCCGTGTGTCGCTTCCTTTGGGCTGTTCCCGAGTTGCATCCTTTAAAACAGGGGTGTCCAATCTTTTGGCTTCCCTGGGCCACACTGTAAGAATTATCTTGGGCCATACATAAAATACACTAACATTAACTGCAGCTGATGAGAAAAAGGAAATTTCAAAAGAAATCTCATCATGTTTTAAGAAAGTTTAAGAATTTGTGTTGGGCTGCCTCCAAAGCTGTCCTGGACTGCGGGTTGGACAATCTTGCTTTACAGGAACCACTAACAATAAGCAAAGTGCCCTTCTGAGTTCTGTAAGTTGTCCTGGCAAATTATGCAACCCGAAGTGAGGTCACGGGAACCCCAATTTACAGCCAGTTGATCAGAAGTACAGGTGACTTAGGACGTGCAACTGGTGTCAGAAATGGGGATGGTCTTGTGGGACTGAGCCCTTAAAACTTGTGAGGCCGGCACGAACCCTGAGAAGCTAGTGTCAGAACTGAACCAAATGAGGGGACACCTAGGTGGTGTCAGAGAATCAGAGACCTGTTTGATAACACAGCCCCCAGCCACAAGCGGCCACTGAGCACTCAAGAGGTGGCGACTCCAGCTATGTCGTGCTGTGAGGGCAAACATACACTGGACTCTACAGACAGGCAAAGCAAGCAAATGAATGGTGTTAGTAATTATTTGAGTATATGTTGAAATATTTTGGTTATACTGGGCTAAAGAAGACTTAACATTTGTAACCTCTTTAATGTGGTTACTGGGAGAGGTGAAGTTACACACCCCGCGCACACTGGCAGCTTATGTTCTATTTCTGCTGGACAGTACTGCTTGGCATGTCTTCCTTTCTGAAAACACAAGAACTGATGTCCATTTCTTTGTCTCAAATTTTTCACATGGAGAAAGGCAGCAACCACTTAGGGATGAGAAGCGGGGATGTGAGTAACAGAGAGGGAAGGAATTAGTGTTTATTAAGTGCATATTAAGTGCTGGGAACCACCCAGTATCTCACACAATTTCATGCTAGCAATCCCCTGAAATAATGGGCATCCTCCTCGCCCTTTTCCGGGTGAGGGCACGGAGACCTCGCGCCAATAAAGGGACAAAGCAGGGACTCCAGTGCTGCTCTCCTGACTTCTGTTCCTTGCTGCACACTAGGGGCTGCGGTCTTCTTCTGGAAAAGGCCTCATATTTCAGGCTTTGTGGGCCACATGATCACAATTCCTCGATTCTGTTGTTGCAACATGGGGCAGCCACAGATGCTGTGGAAATGAATGAGCCCAACTGGGTTCTAATAAAACCGTATTCACACCCAAACAGGTGAACCGGATTTGGCCCACGGGCCAGTTTGCCAGCCTCTACCGTAACCACAAAGAGTCCCAGATATTCCTACCTAAATTACTGTATTTTCAGCGCACCAAAATGTAACACTCACAAAGAACACCTTTCACAAAATACTAACTAGGTTATGGTGGAAACAAGGGAAGAGGGAGGATCCGATTTTGCAGGTGAACTTCCTGTTAGACTTCTAAGCTCATATCAGACAACCAGGTAGGCCATGTAGGTGTTGTCACGAGCAGTATTACATTAACAGCAAATTGCATTTGGTTCAATGACATGTGTGACATGAATAACACTACAAGTATATACCTGGGAATATGGAATGGTATCTATGAGATAAATACAGAAGGGGGTCCAGGCTTCCAGGTCAGAGTCTCCCTGGCTCCGGAGAGATAAGCAAGCACCAGGAACCCAGCACTGGGGTGGGTGGGCCCGACCTGGCTGACCATACCAGTCCTCAGGTGAGAAGAGTTCCTCCCAAGCGTGTCTCTTCACATCTTCTCTCCATTCCTGAGTTTCACCAACACTGCACAGGCAGCAGGAAAATGGAGCCAGAAGCCTCTAGCCAGTTACTAAACTAATTTGATGGCTTAAATATTTATTCATAAGTCAAACTAACACTACTCACTACAGATGGAAATAGTTTGGAAGGAATGAAAATCCTGCATGCCCACAAGATGGAGGGAAAGCCACGTAAAGGAAAGGTCTGGGGACAGGGCCATGGCGGGTTCAGTGTTCACCTGCAGACCCCGCCCCTGCCAGGATTCTCCCTCACAGACCACGCTGAAAGGCGACAAGTGAACAAATACAAAACAGTGGAGAAAAAGAAAACCTAGGCCAGGCGCAGGGGCTCAAGTCTGTAATCCCTGCATTTGGGAGGCTGAGGTGGGAGGATCCCCTAAGGGCAGGGGTTTGAGACCAGCCTGAGCAACACAGTGAGACTCCATCTCCACAACAAAAATTAAAAACTTTACTGGGGGTGGTGTATGCCCGTCGTCTCAACTACTCGGGTGACTGAGGTGGGAGGATCACTTGAGCTCAGGAGGTCGAGGCCGCAGTGAGCCATGATGGCAGCACTGCACTCCAGCCTGGGCAACAGAGCAAGACCCCATCCCTAAATAAAAGAAGAAAAAGAAAACCTAAAAGAGGCGAGAGAAGGAGAAAGAACTACATCAGGTTCTCCCCCACCTTTCAGGCCCTCCCAGAGCCATGCAGAATACAGACTTTCCCAGGTGGGGAGGCCCCACATTCCCACACTCTCCTGCTACCAGAATGTGCTTCTCAGGCCCCCGTTCCCCACTCAGCCCCATCTGCGCCTCCCCCTCATCCTTTTGTCTCCTTTAACACTCTTGAGGGGAATGGTGTAAAGCAATTTCTACTATCCAGGGTAGCAATTTCAGGGAGTCCTGCTTGGCAGGAAGCAAAGTCTGACCAAGAGTATCAGGAACTGGTCACACCTGTGCAGTGTAAGTGTCACCTGCTGCCACGTAACAAGTCACTGCAAATTCAGCAGCTTACACCCACGTATTTATTGTCTCTGTGGGTCTGGAGTTTGGGTGTGGCTTACCTGGACTCTTAATTTTTTATATAACGAAAGACAGCTAATACACATACCTCCATAGACTTGCGCACACACACACACACACACACCCTATTCTAAGCAGTATCTGTGGGAGGCTATCTGCCTGTTACGGGTGTGAAAATCTAAAATATTTGCGACTGTTTCTGAAAATGTCTTTAAGGAACATATTAGCAGTTAAAAAAATAAATCCCGTTACCTCTGTCTCACTTAGCCAGTGACCAAAAATACGATAATCTAGCCCTGTCACTGACACCATGCCCCAAACAAGTCCCCACAGAACAGTCTACTAACAAAAGCTAAAGTCACCCACAAAGGGAGAAGTCATGCCACGGCTGAGAATGTTCCATCTGCCGTCAGGGAGTCCCTTCAAAAACTGGACCACCAGCTCAAAAGGAAACGCCAAGAACTGGCAGTGGGGCTGGTCTCCGGATGACCACGATGGAATGCTAAATCCTACTGGCAGAGTCCCTGAAATTCAAGGACCATTTTAGAGTCAGCCTGTTTTAAAGGACACAGTAGTCACAGTATGTACAAATTCTCGTCAATTTGTTTTCAAAACAGCAGTGACACTGTTTTATCATCACTCTGAGACACGGTCCTCTAGAATAGATCAATCCAAAACGCCTTTATGGAGGGGCCATTTACACTGACTTTCAGAAGCAGTAGAGTTTGGGTGAAATTGATACTTCCGCACTACTGAAAATTGGCATAACCCTTTGGAAGGGTGTTATGGCAAGATGCATCAAGAGCCATAAAGACGTCCATACCATGTAACTCTGCAATCCCTCTCCAAGCAATTTACGTTAAAAAAAAAATGGTTCCACTGAAGAAGAGAAATATACCCGGAGATGTACACAGGCACCTTGTCTACCGGAGCAGAAATTTCGATGTCCAGCTCAGCACACTGCTTATCCAACTGTAGTGCTTTCAACTCCATGAGATATCACGCGACAAGAAAAAAAAAGGATTTGAAACACTAGTAAAGTGGAAAAAATATTCAGAGTGAGAAGAATAGAAAATTATATAAAAGTTATAAATACTTACAAGGACGAGCTGCAAATATGAAAAGTTTCTCTTTCAGGATGGTGAGATTACAGGAAGCATCTCGCTTTTCAAAAACTACGCTTAAGAGTCAGTATATTATCTCTATCTTTAAAAGGAAATTCACACCAAGAAAAAGCAATGCCAGAAAAATACATCTCAGGAATCTAGGTCTCCATAAAGTAGCTGTGTGTTTGGTTTGCACTTTTACCTGAGACTGCTAAAACCCCACCTTGGAAGACCAGAGCCAAGTGACCAGTATCATTCTGCCTCCTGCTCACCTCTGTCTCAGTCAGATGAGGCAGGCCATCGGGTTTTGAAGCAGCTTTGTGGCTGAGCCTTGAAGCAGAGCAGGCTGCAGGCTCCTGCAGGGATGCAATCCTAGGAGGGTGGCCGACGATAAACACGTGGAGCTGAGACACCCCTGTGGAAGGAAGCATTTCCACTCGAGCTCCGGGGCTAAAATGATTAAGAATGTGGGATGTCTGCCCACAGGCTCTCCTTAACCTGCAGGGTGCAGATGCAAAAGCAGCCGAAGGGTCAAGGCTGTGGCCCACACCGAGGATCACCGAACAGGCGTGCAAACAGAACGCACCCACGTGAGAGCTCTGCAAAGCGAAGCTGGCAGAACTAGCACTCGGATAAATTGCTTAGCTTCTCCAACTCAGCTACCTCATCTGTTAAACGGGGCTGAGGGCAGACTTGTGGGGTTGGAGAGAGGACTACATTAGGCAACACACAAAATGCTTAGCCACGTTATGTGCTCAATAAATATCAGTTATTATTATTGCCACATGAATACTTTAAGAATGTACCTTCACGCAGTCCATCATTGTAAGGGAACTTCTAGTAGCTGGTATTTATAGTTCCACATGCAAGAAGGCACAATGCAAGTAATGTGTGAGCCAATTCTTCTTCCAAATTATTTTTTATTTTATAGCACATTTCTTTAAACACAGGGTTAAAAACTCCAGGGACCATTTTGCCACAACACGCCTGAGAATCAGAAAGTCAAACTTTTTCATGCAAAGAGATTTTTTTAAGTCATTTACATTGTCCTGATCCTGAAAGTTATTATAAACCCCTAAGTTCCCAAAGCACAACCCCACCCCAACCCCGCTGCTGTAACAGTAAATAATCACAGATCCCAGAACACAAATTTACACTTTTTAACTAATAAATTGAATATAATTTTTCCCACCATGACAACTTAAATAAAATTTTTAAAAACAATAGGCTTTTGCCCAATTAAAATAGAATTCTTTCTATATTCTCTTTTGAGAACAGGTTTGTATTTTACCCACTTGGGGCGTGTTTTGTCATTACCGCATGACTGGGAAGAGTTCTGTTAGACAGCAAAATCGAGCTACTTTTCTTTCTGCAATGCCTATGTAGACTGTCTCTGGCCAGCAGCTCGGTCATCAGAGGACATAGTGATACCCGGTCCCTGGCGGGGTCCTGCTCTCCCCTTGGCAGAATGGTGAGGGCTAGGGACTTCTCCTCAGGGTGCTTTTTTTTTCTTTCTTTCTGGAGACAGAGTCTCGCTCTGTCACCCAGGCTGGAGTGCAGTG